CCATCCCAGGCCAGGGAGGGACTGGACTTCCTCTGGCAATGTGCACAGGGAGAAGGGGAGCCAGGGGGGTGGGCCTGGATGCCAGATGGAAAGGAGCCAGCAGGGCAGTAGGCTATGAGGCAGTCTGTTCCCAGAAACCCTGTGGAAGGCTGTGGATGGATGGGTCCTCCAAAATGAAGAAAGCCAGGTGGGTTTGCTGTAGGGAGGCAGAAGCCTGAATAGGACAGTACCTGAGGGCGGGAAGAGGGATGGGGCGCTGATGTTTGCTTGATAGCAATCCATCCCCAAGTGGTTACAGCTCCATCTGCTCCTTGTGGGTGCACAGCCTGGGTAACTGGCCTTTCCAGGATGGCAGAACAAAGAGCAAAGGGTTCTTGCTGTCACACAGGAAGGAGTTGCAAAGGTCGTGAGAGTGAGAATGAGTGTCAGTGACACGTAAGTGTTGTCACAATGATGTGTGACAGCTCTGGATGCAATTACACCTGCCTGCCAGCTCCTTGAAGAAGATGGGCGTCTGTCTGGTGTTAGCCCTTGGACCTTCCCTGACACACCCCTGGGTCTCATCTGGGGCGAAGGACATTTCTTGGACCTTCTGTCTTTGAACTGCACAGCCAGAAGACTGCAGCATATAATGACTTTGACTCCAGGCCGCTTCCCACGGAGCAGTCTTGCTTCCCTGGGTGGAGCCTGAGACCCCTTTCCCTGCTATCTCTGATTCCCAGCTCACATCACAAGCCTGCTTCGATTCTTTAGAGTGTTCTATATGCGGTGTCTCCCCACGAACACTGGATGGAGCTGCTCAAGGGCAGCAACCCTGCTGAATTTCTCTCTGAATTTGTAGCATCTGGTGCTCAGATGTGGGATTGTGCAATCAGGGCTTGTCGGGTAACAAAATGATATTTATTAAATTTAGTGAGCATTTAAAAAATTCCTCAACCAATACCACTTACTCCCTGCTCGTTCTGTGCCTTGTGTGCTATTCCATGCTGGAAAAAACAAACAAAAATAAGAGAGATCCAATACTGCTCCCTGCTGGGGGTCGCATTCTGGAGGGGACAGATCAAGGGGAGGGCAGTTTTCAAACCGGGAGACGTTTGCTTAGCCAAAGGACGCAGAGTAACACTTACATAAGACAGGAGCAAAGCCTCTCATGGAAATACCTTCCCTGACCCTAGTAAGTGGCGCTGTGTCTGTCTTCCTAAATTGTTTCCATTTCCACCGTGACCTTCTGAATGAGGTGGTCAAGCTGAGCTCTTCCCCGGTCAGGCGGCACTCATGGTCCCTTGCCCGTCTGTGCGACCCCTGACTCCTCCTCAACAAGCCTTCTCCTCCCCATGCCCTGAGCGGACTGCAGCAATGCACTGCGCAGCCTTCTTCATTAAACTGTCCACAGTGATTCATAGATGGCTCCCCCAGAGGTTACGCATAACTCAGAAGCCATCAGCACACTGGGGACAGGAGGCGTAGATTGCTCCTTCTGGGATATGTTACCTTGTGTTTGCCCACACTGAAATTCACTGGCCACACCGGGCTCCAAGTGCTCTGCCCAGCTGTGCCCTTTACAGATTCTTTGGCCACCAGCCTGCCGCTAAACAGTGAAAGACTCCCAACTGCGGTCCCTGGAGGTGGTGATGGTGTATGTGCTACAGCAGAACAGCAAGCCCCATGAAATGAGGCAATTTCAGAGGGCAGAAACTGAATATGGCAAGCCAGGTGGTAGGACAATGAGCTGTCTGTCTTCCAGAGTCTGTGATCATAAGAGACGTCAACGTCACTTGGCCTGGAGTGTCTGGAGCCTGACACACGCTCTGCTCTCTCAAATTCCCAGCTCTCTCTCTGAAGCTCCCTGCTGGCTTGTTCTGTTTTGGGCACAGTAAGACTTGGCTGAGTCCTAGAGAAGAGAATGCCCTGGGTCACTGAGACTTAACTGGACAAATTCATGTGTCACAAGGTGGGGACTGTGGGGACCTAAGCGTTGAAGAGATAGTAGAGCAGGAGAGAAAGGCACAGAGCGAAGTCAGCCTCCTGCAGGTGCTCTTAGCTGCTCTTTACTGAGGGCACAGAAGGCCGGACAGCAGATCACCACAGGCCGCCTGGCCAAGTGACTGTGCTTGACCGAGGCTCACTGAGGGAGGTAGGTCTGGGGGACGTGGTACCTGATCAACTCAGTCTGTGAGTGCTGCTAAGACATTGTCAGGCTGAGTGTTGCCACCTTACAATGTACTCATCTCAAAGTGGTCAGCCGATGTCCAGCAAGTCATCCCTGCCCTGTCTTAGCCTCAGTTTAGCTTCTGTGTTTGTCCTCCTCTCTTATTGGCTGGGCCTATGGCTCTGGCAGCCATAGTTCTCTCCCAGGTCAACACTAACCTGATGAGTATGGTGGTAGGTGCAAGTCAGTGTGCGCTCTCTGAAGTGCTAGGCACCACAGGTGTTAGGGATCCACATTTTTAGTGCTCTTGTTTTGACCTATGGGTCAGTTGTTAAATTTCCCACTTATAGTGCCATGTTGTACTTACAAGTTTTAGATTTTGGATCTTTGAGTTTGGGGTTTAGACTTTTGATCAAAGTACCTATATTTTACCTCAGCAACTTCATTGTGTCCCCCTCATCAGGAAATAATATTTGCTGAGCTTTCCCTCATTGTACTTGTGAGGAAACTGAGCCTAGAGAGGTGAAGTCATTTCCCCAAAGCCACACAGCCAACCACAGCTTGACACGGGCACAGGGCTGCCACAGCATGTACTGGTGGAAGCGTTCAGGGAGAGCCCCCACCAGCCTCCTTAGCAAAGGAGTCCTTGCCGGGCACTTGGCTCCCTGGAATATTTTGCCTTTTGAAATGTACTAGAGTTTGCACTGAGGAGGTACAAGCTTCTTGTTTTTCTTTAAAAGTACCCCCAAATTGCAGAAGTAGCAGTCATGTTAGGACACTGGGCATCTCTCTTTTGACTGCTTCAAGGTACTTAGGTTGATGGCAACATATTGCCTCCAAAAAATTCCAGCTGTGGGACCAATAACAAAGGCAATCACGCCGCTAACTTTCATTAGACACCTGTTAGACTCTGCTGTGTTGAGTGAAGTAGGGAATTTTGTCATCTCTGCTTTAGAGGAGGAAAAAGGCACAGAGAGTTTGTGTCTTTGCTCAAGGTCATGCCGTTGACTGAGCTCTCTAATCTCTGCGTCCTGTAATCCCCTTAATCAATGTGTCCTGTGTTGGGTCAGCCTAAGTCACTGAGAAAGAGGATCAGTCCTGATCTATTGAAAACCTACTAAGAGCCATGTAAAGGGAGGGAGCAGGGGTCCAGGGTGGTAGTGGGCGTGGGAGAAGAGCATGGTACTGGTCCCATGGAACTGGATATTGGAGGAAAGTATTGAAGAGAAAGGAATTTTGAGCAGGGAATGGAAGGAGGAAAGGGTTACCAGGAGCAAGATCTTTCAGTATCATAAGTTTGAATCAATTCTGTTTAGAGACGAGTTGGGTTATTGGGAGATATGTCCTATGGGGACTTTGGGAAGTATTTAAATCAAGAGAGGGAGAAAATAACCAAAGTGTAGTTGCTTACAAAGTTACTGTGTGTGTGTGTGTGTGTGTGTGTGTGTGTGTGTGTGTGTGTGTAGGAAAAGGTACAGAGTGAAAAATGCCTAATAATTCTTATTTTGCTATTTTTGGCTATCAGCATAGGCTTTGGGGATGCCTATTTTGGTCTGCTTTCATCATTGTATAGACTCTCAGGGCTGTCCTACTGTGATTCTCCTAGCTTAAATGTTTCTTTAAATTGCTGCTCAATTTCTCGAGGGGAGCCTCCATCTTGCCCATGTTCCCCAGCTCACTGAGCTCAGAGCCTTCCTTTCAAATGAACTGCACTATTTTTTATGCATAGTGCCGCGTTGCTACTGCTTCAGCGATTTTCTTCTTTCGACATTCTCAGATGAGTGTTTCCAGGGCCTCGTGAGCCACCATTGCTCCTGAATCCGTGCTCCATGCCTGTAACAGGGGGAGCTCAGGGACTTCTAGCTTCCTACATCCCCATTTAGATGCCTTTACAACTGACAGTGTTTTAGTTTTATTACTTATACAGAAAACTATAGGAGGCACATTTTTTGGCTTGGAAATTCCACCCAGTTCAATACCTGTGGTGACAGCTGAAATTATGCCTCAATTTCTTCCCATACAGACCCCTAAATATTCTTTTCATTTGGATGCAGGATTTCACCCCTCTTTTCAGTGTACTGATCTGGTCCGAGGGGAGCCTAAGGAAAAACAAGATCTCTTTGAGCTTCTAGCCTCCCTGTGGGATAATCAGGTGGTGATGTTGCCATTCAAGGCCATGAAAGAAGTGTGTCATTGGTTTTTGAACAAATTTTAGCTTTAAGCCTATTTCTAATCTTAGGTAAAGGTGAGGGTACAGTCAAGCTGAAGCTTTATAATCAAAGAGATGCTCTATATTGCAGAGGTAAGAATGGGTTGGGTTTCAGGATCTGAGATACTTGGAGCTTATTCCCAGCTTACTAGATGTATGATCAGTCTGGGCCTCAGTTTCCTCATCTGTAAATGGGAATATTATTAACATTCTCTGGGAAAAAAAACTGTTAAAAGAATTAGATAAGACCATGTGCACACAGGGGTGCTCAGTACATGCTAGCTATGTTACTTTCAGACACTGCCTAGAGAATGCGCAGCTCCAAACTCTCTGTCATCAATCATGATATTAAGGTAGAGATGAGTCAGTACAGGCACATGGAGTAGCTGAAACCATGGCCTTTCTGATGGTTGCTGTCAAGTGGATGATTGATTTTTATTACTAGGAACCCACACTGCCTGCTCAATAACATTCCTAATTCATTAGCTAAGGAAATCTTTGACAATCAGACACTTCTGCCTATGGTATCGAATGGTCCTTAAAATAGAAGAGAGAGAAACATCACACAGAACCTGTCTGGTGCTAAGTGAGTACTTTCCCCCTAACTTGATATTGGCCAGTGCCCTTGTAAATCACACTCACCACACTGAGTCCTTGGTTAGTTTGGAATTCACGCTGCCGTCCTCTTCTAGGAAGATGTCCATTTGCAAATTGGCATCATTGTCATGGGCTGAGAAGTAATTGGTAATGACTCTTGCTGGAATTCCGAGGCATCGCAGAACTACAGGAAAGGGTCATAACTAGACACATCACCACAGTTTAAGAGATGCATAGTTTCCATATGAGACTTTCCATGTGAGACTCCCTTTCCGTATGAGACTTTCTTCTTTTCCAACATGCAAAGACCTGTGGACATGTCCTCAAATGTTCCATACAGAAGAAGGGTGACTTGTTCAACCCCTCGGAGCTTGGGAGAGACATCTTGATGTGCGATACTGCAGAACTTTAGTTGGTGAGAAATAAAGGCTGCTAGAATAAAATCCACGCTAACAGGGTTCTAATGCATTAGTTTCTAGTCATAGGGCCATCAAAGCAGTAGTATTTTAGTCTACTTGATGAGACCACATTCCTGAGAATAAATTCTAAAAAAACCACCTAGTAGGAAGTTAGGAATTTACAGAGCAGACCCTCACTGGCGTTTGCTCTTCCTGGCTGGAATTTACTCTTGTGATACACAGTGCAGGGTGACACCACAGATTCATTTTAATTGTTAGATAATAAATTACCTGGATGCATCTCTTGCCATATGTACCTATTGATTAAACTTAATCCAAATGCCCTGCCTGGCTCCTGGGACACCAGACATCAGGATTCATTGAAAATAATTCACCTGACAATTTTAAGATTAATGACTTGGCTTGCTAGTTTTTTTCCTCCCTCAGAATAGTTTAGCATTTTTTAAACAAAGACTCTCCACCCCCTTCAATAGAACAACCTTGGAAGTTCAAACCTGAGTCTTGTAGAGGCTCAAGTGTTCTCTTCCTTGATGACTTGATCTCAACACTCCCAAAATCATTGGCTTCCCACTCCCCTCTTGCTATTGATCTGCTCTTCCTGTTCACCCACAGTCTCACCCATAAGAGGGCTGGCACTCTTCCATTTTCAGTGAATTTTAGCGTTTGTGTGTGTGTGCTTGTGGTTGAACCCAGGACCTCCTGTGTGCTGAACACGTGCTCTACCACTGAGCCTTGCCCCCAGCCATCTAATGTGAATTTCTGAACACTGATTCACATGACCATAGAACTGAATTTGTTCTAGAGTTTATTTTACTTATAATTTCAAGGAATGAACTCGCCTTTTGGATGCTGCTCCTCTTTCTCTCCAATTTCCCAGGTCGGGTTTATTTTCCAGGTGAGTTCCCCAGCAACTTTTCTTAAGTTACCATCAAAACCCATTTGCAGGCACAGATCTGACAGCTCTTTTATACATAAGGGGCCCAAATCGATGTAAGGTGCCTCCCATTTTATCTGGTTCTAAGCCTAAAGGAATTGAGCTATGATAGTGAAGTTATAGGCACAGGAGGAATGTGAGTCTTCTCTCTTCCTGGAATCATTTCGTGAGAGTGGCTGCCTACACTGGGAAGCCTCTCATCATCCTGCTTGAGGGAGGGAGATCCCTTTAATATTTAGCCCATCATGAGGCTCAGCCTGCTAGGACTTTGGGGACCAGCCCTTCTAGGAGACTGATACTTTTGGTTTTCACAGCTTCCAGGAAGAATGTATTCCTTTAGCTTTTGGGTATATTGAACATGCTAAGAAAGTTTTTTTTCAGCTGATGCCAGAGGGAAATGGAACAAACAAAATAAAATTTAGTTTCTTTCTGCTTGGATCATTGACAAAGTCCTAGACTATCACAACTTGGAGCAAATCTGGTGGGTTTTATAATCATTTTTCAAAATGGCCTTGCTCCAGCCTTTACTTGTTTTTTATTTAAAGAATGCTAACTAGGTAAAATATTCTTTATTAATGAGCAGGCAGGAAGGACACTCTGACGTGAGCTTAATATTTCTCCAAGGCTGTAGAAGTGGGGTCTGAATAAAAATCATTACCAGTGTGTAGTTTAATAAATGTATTTTTAAAATTATTCACTGAATTAATACTGTAATATTATCTGGGTCTAGACAGGCAAATGCCATTCTGAAAAATGATGCACAGAGCTGAAGAGAATAATTTGGTTCCCGTCTGTTGTGTTCTGCAGATTGGATACTGGGGAGATTAAACGTCAGAGGGGCAAGTGGGAGGGAAGGATTGCTTGTCACATTCTGATATCTAATTGCTCAGGGGTATTACGACTCACGTGTGAAAATGGAGATGAGACACTTGCTACAATCTCTTCCACAATTGGGATAAAAATTAAGTGGATATATTTACAAACCTTTCCAATAATAAATAAGCATATTTATGTAACATCTTAATAATAGGTAAGCAGTATATCTTCTTTTATGCTTTTTTTCAGTTGTAACTATTTTAATGTTCAAAAAGCCGAGCTTACAGAGAAGAAAATGGTTCATCTTTCTCCCTTGCATCCTTACTTGGCCCTGTGACCCTCCATTGCTCTGGGTGTTAAATGATGAATTAAGAGGGAAACAGTACATCATTCTTTTCATAAAGATTCTGCAGTCAGAGACACTATGAGCATATTTGACCCAGTACAATTTAATTATGCATCGACTACATCCCAGAATATTCACCCATAAATTCTATACAGCCAACAGGGACTGCTAAGTCTCTTTGCCAGGTTACAGATAAAATGTCTTGAAGTGAAATTTCTTTTCTGTTAAAAAAAATTACTCCATTGGTTACTTACATGTATTAAAGACACCAGCAAAAACCCAGCACTGGCCATACTGGACTGGATTTTCAGAGCTCTTGTATTCCAACAGGATGTCCACACTTCCGGTCCAGGCTGATGGGGGGACGCCATAGGCATAAACATTGTCCCAGGACCCCACAATGACACCTTGGTCATCTTTGGCATTAATCTAAATGAGGCGATAAGAGGTGAGAAGGAAGAAAGGTCATTCAGACAAGTCCTCTCCAGACTATGACACTGAGCACGGTAAGGCTTCCAGTGCCTCGCCTATGTCGGCAGGTGAAAGCAGCTCCACTCTGTTTAAATCACCATTGTGTTGCCTGGAGAAATGCTGCAAGAACTCAGTGTGCAAATGGGAAACCAAATAACCAAAACTGTCTGTTGAATAGTGTTTTACAGCAGTCAAGTGAGCTCCATAACAGATGGGAACATCTCTTACACAGAAGGCACTTGGATAGCACTGGAGTGGTGCTAGGGTGTGCAGTGAGCATAGGAAAGGAGATCTGCAGAGGAACAAGGTCAAGAGACCCTGTATTGGTGGGAGGAGAATGCGAAGTTGAGATATGAAGGGAAAAAAAAGGTCGAATAGAGTTTCACTAATGAGTAGTGGGCATAATGAATTGGAAAAGTTAACATGCCATAGGAACCATTATGGGTAAATAAAATAGCTTTACAAACCTAATTCACAAAATCTACTCCTTAAAAATGTTGTGAAAGGAATAGTCTCTTTACAATTGTTTAAAGTGATTAAAGTTTTATAGTTTTGTTAAAAGGGATTTCTATTTCCATAAGGGGCCTGGAATGTTATAGTTTCAATATGGAGGAGATGTAAGCAGCAAATGGCTATGCTGAATCTTTTGGGAAAGCTTGCTATACATTCAAACTGAAATCATCTAGTAACCACACACCTGAAGTCCAGGAACAAAGACCTTTCACGTTTAGACAGTAAAATGAAAGCCAAGAAATAACAATTTTGAGGCAACCTTTCAGGTTTTTCTGTACACTGCTGACCCTAACTCTTCTGATGAGAGCCTCCTCACACTGAATTATAGTCAGAATGGACCATTGGTGGAGAGCAATGACTGTTTTTCCTAAAATGAGGGCCACTTCAACAGTTCTTATAATAGATGTGACTGTTGTTTAGAGTCTCATGACACAAAGTGTGGTCAGCCATTTTGACACTGCCAAGGAGCTCATTGGGAATGCAGAATCTTCCTCCACAGAACTATGGATTACATCTGCATTGTAACAAGATCTACAGGTGGTCTGCGTGCAAATCAGTTGCAGAAGCAAAAAAATTTGGATGACACCACTGAAAAGATAACATTAAGCAATTTAAAATATGATCTGAAGCATGTGCATTTGGATTATGTAAACCATAGGAGACATTTTGAAATATGGTGAGTTTTTATGTGTTGCTTCCTCACCAAGCAGTAATGCAGCCTCAGCTCCTGCCCAGAGATCTCTCTTTGGCTGCTGTGTTTAGTTGTAGAGGAGTCCATCTTCCTCACTGGTTCATGAGTTCAAGGAGAACAGCAATAAACATCTACGTCTTTTTGAATTCTAGCAAGTATGAACAAGGAGCTACTGCTTCCTAGGTGTTCAATAATCACTTGTACAGTCCACAAACATATGGCCATTGTAATTTGAGTAAGACTTTGTCTCTGGGAAGAGATGAGGAAGAAGTCTGTCAAGTGGAAGTGAAGATTGCTAATATTAAGACAGAAAGGGGTACAGCCAGAGTTGGGGTCAAAGGGGGAAGGAAAATCAGTTGGGTAGGAGGTGCTGGTAGAGTTGAGGAATTCATGGAGCACATAACACACAAGCTGGCAAAAGAGTCTATCCTCATCGTGGAACTGGTTTCAATTAATAGTTGGTGTCATGAAATAAAATGGCAGGTTTAGGGGCCCCTTCACAAGGATCATGTACACAGGCCATATTCTACAAAACTGAAAATACCAACAGAAGACACTTAAAGTGACCAGGTGTCTTCTGTTGTGAAGGACAAACTTTCAACAGAAATGTGAGAATCACTCTACCGCTGAGTGCCTTTTTCCAGAGAGAATCCCGTAGAGCGCTGCAGGCCAATGACTCTTCCATCTAATTTTTCTGTTCTCCCACTTTGACTCTGTGTGCAGTTGGGTTAAAGTTGAGGGTTTTAGTAACTTCCAAGTTAATGTGCTTGAAGTAGACAAAAATAATTCTTTGGAGGATTCTGAATGATCTTGTTCATCTGGTTGCAAATTTATGCCTCTAGTATGAATTTGATGTTAGTCTAGAGATTATGAAATGCTTAGGTTTCAGTAGGGTTTAGCCAAGCAGCTGACTCTATTCATGATGAGTACTTCTCATTGTTGACTTGGTTATTTAAAAATTTATATCTATTGTGAAGCTGGAAAAGTATCTTGGTACACTGTGATGTGGGATGGTCTCTGATTCAACTTTTAACTCACATTACCATTCCGTTATCACTGAGTGGTAGAACATGATCTATGAATCCCACAGGTAAAAGTTCCTAAACTGTGCTCTGATGACTGATTCTCAAGTAAATAGCCATTAATTAAAAGAGCTATTTTTAGCCTAAGGCTGAGCCTGAGAAACTACAGGAAAGAGCAAGGGGTGGAAAAGCTCTCTTCCTTATAGACTTTTTCACTGTTAATGCTGAGCTGTTCCTCTGTTGCCAGATAAATCACAACTTGCATTTATTAGCATTTGACCAGATTAGCTACAGTTTTCTAATTAGAACACTGATTTCTATGGGTCTCAGACACTGAACGAGGTAAGTCTTTAGTGATAGATATAAAGAGTTAAAATATTATCTCCCTTCCTAGACAAGATATCTTGGGGGGGTGCACTTCAAGGGCACACTGGTCCTTTTGTGTGCTACAGTTGATTGCTGTAACACACATGAAGTTAGGATTTGACTAGTGGCAGCCTAATCTGTCTTGGTCTTGGGTTGCTAGGGATCAAGCAGAAAATAGGAGGTCAGGACTATGGGCAGGTAGTGTTATATAATTTCAATATGGCTGCAATAAAATACTCTCCCAAAATGCCTATGGGATTGAAAAATGAAGAAAAAAAAACACAACAGCCTCCACAAGGTATTCCTAGCAGTCTTGGTGGTGTAACATAATGCAATGAACCATCAGACATAGTGACACAGAGGATGAGGGTGCTGGATTGAAGCCGACAGGCAGCAGGCACAGACCCTGATTGTAACCGCTTGTTCTTCAGGTGCCTTTGCTGAATTAACAAAATCCTGAGTTTTAAAAATTTATCTTTGAAAATCAGGAGAGAAACAAATTGAACTAGAATGAAAATTTTTCTCTCATGTTAACTAAAATTGTGGAAGCCACTTTTGTGGAGAAATAGGTGAGACAGGGTCTGCACGTCAAAAGAGGTAGACACTCTGGGAGTACGATGGGGAAATGATACAAAGCCCAGGAGTACCCTCCGTGGGAATGAGATATGTTTTCCATTAGGGAAGTGGGTCCTGGAAAGAGAAATTCAGCTCACTCTTAAAAGGAAAAATAGAGTCCAAATATTCTAACAAAGATTGTCTGTCCCCTCAGTTAATATACTTTCCTTGCTTAATTTTTCCATGGGTACTGATGAGTAGATAGGAATAAGTATACTAGCCTCATATTGTTGTTCAGAGCACAAATCAAACCCATCTTAGACGGAGAAGAGAGTTAAAATTTCATCCATTAGAGCAAACAGACTGCCTAGGAAAGAACTATGCAAGCATGAGCACAAACAAAAGAAAAAGATGTTAGAGGGGGTGGAGAGATTCAGAGAGAGCATGAAAAAGATCAGATATAGAAGAAAACACACTTAGGAAACATAAATAATTTTTTTCTCACAATTCCTTAAGATATCATAGACCCAAGGGAACAAATTGAGGACCAAATTGTATTACAGAATTAGTAATAATAATTGTCAGGTGTAGTGGCACACACCTGTAATCACAGCACCGGGAGGCTGAGGCAGTAGGATTGCTGTGAGTTCAAGGCTAGCCTGTACTACATAACCAGATACCATCTCAAACAAAAAAAAGAACTAATAATAATCATTAAGTACAGGAAATAGAACAGACACTGTTAAAAATAAAACTAATGACATAGAAGACAAGTTGGAAATATTTAAAGACATACTAATAAAAAAGACAAGCGGGGGTGTTATTTATAGGGAAGTTAGCGGTTATTAAATATGATATCACATAAGGATAATTAGTGTCCTCAGGGAAGAAAACCCAACAAATGAAATAAAAGCTATATTCATAACAAAATAATATTTTCTTAACTGAGGTAAAATTGAGTCTATAAAATGAAAGAGCAATCTGTACTCTATGGTGACTTGATGTAGATTTGTAGTCAATTTGAACTTTAGGAATAGGGCTGGGGATTTAGCTCAGCGGCAAAAGTGCCTGCCTGGCAAGCGCAAGGTCGTGAGTTCGGTTCCCGGTACCGGAGAAAAACCAAAAAAAAAAAAAAAAAAAAAAAAAGAACTTTAGGAATAAAAGAGAATTGATCATCTAGACAAAAAAATGCAGATTAGCAATAAGTGAAGGAGTCAGCCACCTTCAAAGTTCTTCATGATACCATTCAGGAAAACACTGACAATATCTAGGGAGCCCTCAGGGAATGAATGACCCAGGAGTATTACACCCAGCCGAGAAGCCATGCAAGTGTGAAGGCACCAGGCACACACTTCAACATGGAGGACCTTAGGGAACTTGACAGCTACCACAGACTCCTTGAAAAGTAAAATCAAGATAATTAAGGGCTGAATAAAAGGACCCAGAAGCAGAGGCTCTGAGATAAAAGACTCAGCAGTGAGAGAAATCCATACAAGTTAAGTGTCTTGGGGAATTACAGTTATAGGATAACTTTGAAAACTTAATATTGTAAAAACAATAATCACTGTAGGAAAAATTAGACGTGGAGGAGGGAGAAGGTATGGAGATGTTAATGTGTTTGTCTCTCAGAGTTAATTGATGGCATCTAAAATTAAAACGTAATTTTAAAGTACATAATTACTTTATTGTTTTAATGGTTTTCATAATTTTTAAATAACTTTAGAGGGATCTATTAAGAATTCATGTCCTCATTATGGAAGAAACATTCATCTTAGGTTAAAAAAATTTCTTTTGTGGTTACTCAGTTTTTT